AAAGACACTGATAAATTCCTCACATTATGTTCCGCAAGTCATCTCGCAAACTTCGCAAGCAAGATTGAGTTTAGCGTCTCAATTCGAGTACATTGATGTATAGTTTATTGCGAAGGACCAGCTGACCTCTTCCTAGTCAATCATAAAACACTCGAAAATCATTAAAATTAGGCGTGAGCTGTGGGGTACCGTACGCAAAGTGGCGCAAAAGTGGTGTAAAATTGCGTCGCAGCATTTCATTCCTACGGCTGCGTAGCTTTACTCCATTCGATTGCGCATTCTTCCGGATTCGGAAAAGTTGACAAACGTTTATTAGATTATAAAAATGAAGATTATTAACACATTGCGGACCTAGTGCCCATCTCCGAATCAATTCATATTTTTCGTCAGTAACTCATCGGAACTTTCCTACCTCTTTTCAATCGTTTATAAGGTAGGTATCTTCCGTAACCGAGAACTTGCTTGGGCAACATTAGCACATGAAAGAAAAGCAAACTAATCAAGTAAAACACCGCACAGAGACGAATTCATGAAACATCCTGTGTATCACGCGGTCCGGAACGTGTTAACTTGGACAAAATGTTTTGGGTTTTTTTTTAATTCTACTGCTGTATATACGCGCGGTCCAATTTGCTACGAGACCAGCTAAGGGAGCGCTTTCAGCATTTCGAGCATTTCATCAGAAGTTTGAGCTTATTCACGATATGCAGGAGGAAATACTGAATGCTTCCGAAACCGCAGACAATTCTTCAACATGATGATTTTTGATTGCTCCAAAGGTAAAGATACAAATATAAGGCTAGGTCCGTTTGCACTCAGTTTGCTATGGTGTCGAGCAGTTTCTATCTTGTTGCTTCGTATGGAAATCTAGATTAACTCCTGAAAAAAGGAAATGTACACGGATAACCCACCGTTCATACCACGAGGAATCAGAGCAGGGACCGTAAAATATATTTGGAAAGCATTTAGTGCTAGCACCTTGTGAGCTGCTTAATAAAATATAAGGGGTGCGTGCACTTAGATACCCGGGTGGGCGTGGCCACAGGGGCAAGGCTTCGAAATGGACCGGTGTTTCCCAAATTTGTGCTGCAATAGATATTAGACGGGAGCACCGTTTACAAGGTAAACGTTCCTATTGTCTTCAAGGTGTGCTTAATGTTGATTTCATGATCATACGTAAGACCTGATAACCACTTTTTCGCCTCTGCCTAATGTATACCTTTGCAAAAAGCATAAATTCCAATCTAAGTTAATTCTTCCTCTCGGAACTTCTTAGTTCAAGCAGTAGAAACACACAGCTGTTTAATAAGAAGGAAATTATCGTCTCCAAGCTCAGGAAGAAGCGCTGAAGCCTAATTATATCCGTCCACGTCAAGCCCTCGCCCTATTTTGGCCACGCCCACCGGGTATCTAAATATAAGTACTTTTGAAATACCCGTTCTTAGAGTACTTTTGATCAAGTTAATCTTGAACCATTCCAAAAGTTTTTCCTGTAGCATGTAAAAATGATATGCTGACTGATCAGACACCGTGACACTGATCCATAAAAAAAAGGTAGAGAGAATGTTTTGATCTCCAGCATGATCCTCTATTTGACAAATGTCTACCTTCCGTTCTCTCTGAATCGAAAAGAAAGCGCCTGTAAATTTAGGCCAGCATGGAGTGCCGGCAATGTGCCGCAAGAGTACGGCAGATTTAAACGTTTGCGCGTAGGATTGCATGTATGGTGTGCAAAACAAATTATTTGACGCCCAAGTCAATTCCACAATTTAAATGCGATCGCGATATGTCGGTGTCTTCGAACCAAAAACTTCGACACATGTCAGTGAAGAGCAGAAAATTCCAGTGATCTGCGACTTTGCTCTCGCGCCTCTAATTCCACAATCCTTTTTCAATAGGATCAAGCATGCTTGCAAAGTAAATTAGGGTATTCAGGCGTAATAGCAAGCCATGACAGCGGAAAAAGAAATCTTCCTTACACTATGACCTCCCATACTGCCCCTCCACCCAAGCTTCACTGTAGTAAGGTCACTTGAATTACACATTTACTGCAAAATTGAAAAAAAAACGAACTGGAAAGAACGCTCACCGCACTCTCAGCATCCGGAGCGATTCGTTTGAATTTATACTGGAGATAATTTGCACATACTTTAACCTCACCACCTGTATCCACATTCCTCGCAGTCAAAAATACAAAGCTTGTAGCATATCCATTAGTTGCTCTTCCAGCCTAAACAAATACAAGTTCTCACATGAAACGGTTTCAGGGTGCACCATAGAATTGAACTCCAAAGTAACGATAAGATAGTCCAAAACGGAAACAATACGGTATCGGTCCGAAAATCAAAGGGCAGAGTTGCAGTCTTGTTCGCTGCGCATGAAGGGGGAGTCAAGCTGGATGGGTTGGCTCGGCACCAAACCCGTTTTTTGTCGATTGTAGAAGCGAGCAAGCGACGAGATTTTATGATCCACCAATTGTTGCTGCTCAACCGCTTCAACAATTGGTGGAGAACAGGCGCTGTGCCAATCCCATCCCGCATGACACACCCCTTCATCTGCACTGTACCAGACTAATCTCTTGTTACACAAGAATAGAGAACATAATCCAAAAAAAAAAAGGGCACTGTTCAACTATTACCACCCCAGTTTTGAGAAAACAGGTCGGATCTTGATCTACTTTTTTCTACAGGAGCAAATTTGGCTGAAATTTGGGGTCGGATAATTTCGACTTCGCGAACACCAGTATCACATCCATTTGGCCTGAAAGTGCCTGGCACTCGCGCCACAGGCGCCAGTGATTTAAAGTATTTTGGGACCGGCGCCTGTGGCGCGGGCGCCAGGCACTTTCAGGCCAAATGGATGTGATACTGGTGT